GACCTTTTATAAAAATGCTCAATCCAGTTGGTTCGGGAATATCTGGATGATAAGGCATCACGCAATATTTCAGAAGGTCTACAATGTCAGTTCCTCGTATATTATGTTCTCTGTAAACAATTTCTCCTTTTCCATTCCAAGTCAAAATCCCCGTAGAGGTTAAAATACAATGAAGGATTTCTTCGGCTTCATGTTTATCATCAACGTCAAGATATTTGTCGCTATACATGATTGGAATGAGGAGATGCCCTTCATACTTTTTGTCTTATACTAATTCTGCAAGGCCTTCTAAAAGTGGTCCAAGTACCAATCCCAGAGAGCCGCTTCTCCGCTGAACAAGAATTTCCTTTTTCATCTTAAAATTTCTATTTCTGTCCGCTAAATCAGCTAGATCTTGTTTGAAAGGTCTGAGTTTGTCCTTTGTTTCTTTAGAGTATGTGAAATTTTCTATACAATGACACAAGCATCGAATTTGCTCAGCTGATGTAGAATTAAGAAGAGCTTGCTGTTGAGTTGGATGAGAAGTACATAAGAGTTCTACAAATGGTCTGTGTTTCATATAACTGCCAGTCATCTCTGTTCAGCGGTCAGCAACGGAATGAAGATTTAGTTGGAAATAACACATATATAAGGGTCAGCTCGCCCTCTATAGATTAGGTCTAGACAATAGTCTTAATAGTCTTTATTGTAGTCTTTCATAGTCTTTACTATAGTCTTTCATAGTCTTTACTATAGTCTTTCATAGTCTTTACTATAGTCTTTCATAGTCATGACTATTATAGTCTTTCATAGTCAGGACTATAGTCTTTCATAGTCAGGACTATAGTCTTTCATAGTCAGGACTATAGTCTTTCGTAGTCAGGACTATAGTCTTTCGTAGTCAGGACTATAGTCTTTCATAGTCAGGACTATAGTCTTTCATAGTCAGGACTATAGTCTTTCATAGTCAGGACTGTAGTCTTTAATAGTCAGGACTGTAGTCTTTCATAGTCTTTACTATAGTCTTTCATAGTCTTTACTATAGTCTTCATAGTCTTTACTATAGTCTTAATAGTCTTCACCATAGTCATGACTATACTCTTCATAGTCTTTACTACAGTCTTCATAGTCGTGACAATAACCAACGGGATAAATACACCTCTTCACCCTTGCTTTAAATCATTTTACACTGACTCTTGAGAAGTAAACATGTCTTATGAATGCGACATCTGTGGTAAAACGTTTGCAAATGCGAGTAATCTCCTTCGCCACAAGAAGGTTGTCCATGCATATGGAACTCATAATCTTGGGCAGCAAACTCTTACGGTGAATGGGGTTACAGTCATGCAGCATCCCTTTACGTGCATCGTTGCAGGATGTACCCAAAGCGGCAAAACCATATGGGTGAAATCTCTCTTGGAGAATGCTCAAACGACTATAAGTCCTACTCCTCAACGTATCATTTGGTGTTACGGTCAATGGCAACCATCCTATTCTGATATGATGAGGATAATGCCTGGAATCGAGTTTAATGAAGGCATCCCTGACGAAATCGACAATGCAGATTACTTGGACGTATCGCAACAGAATTTGATCGTATTGGATGATCTTATGGCTCAATCTGGCAAAGATAAACGTATTTCTGATCTTTTTACTAAAGGAAGTCATCATCGAAATTTGTCTATCATCTATATTGTCCAAAATATATTTCATCAGGGCAAAGAAATGAGAAATATTAGTCTAAACGCACATTATATCGTATTGTTCAAGTCACCAAGAGATAAACAACAAATTTCTACGCTTGCCAGGCAAATAAATCCCGGCAAAGTACAAGAGTTTATGAGGAGTTATGAAGATGCTACGAGCCGGCCTCACAGGTATTTGATGTTGGATTCAAAGCCGACAACGAGTGACCAAGATCGACTCAAGACAAACATGCTTCCCGGCGAGATTGCAAAGTTTATACAAAAACAGTTGTATCGTCAACCACCGCTTGTAAATGTAATGTATGATGCGGAGCAGCGAATGAAAGAAATCATGGATGCACCACAGCTTAGCGCAGTGGGAAAAAGCAAATTATACTCTGATCAACTCAATCGGTTTTTGACATTCAAAAATAAGATGGATGTTCCGACTCAAGCTCCTGTTCAGACCACTCCATTCGTGCCTGCAGAGATGCCATAACCCAATGAATCTGTCCAGATAGCACCACCAGTGCCTGCTACTCCTAAACCTAATTTCCTTACACCACCACTAACAGAAGAGGAACGGCCAAAACTCAAGCGCAACTTTTTCCACAATTGGGTAGACTCTACAGATTGGAGGCCCCAAGATTTGGCAATGATGACCCCTGAACAAAGAGAAGGTTACGAACAAAGATAACTTCGCGAGAGGCCGAAATATATTCCAATGAAGGATGAAGATGTTGCAAAGTTATCCCCAGAAGATAGACAAAAATATGAAAACTCTTTAAAAATAACAAAAACACCTAGACGTTACGCTCTTAGAAGTAGACCGTACTAAATTTTGTAAAACGTTTTGAAGAAATAATTGTATTTAAAAACTGAAATATTGTGTAATTTTTTGCCGGCAAAGCCCGCTCTTTCCGCCCGCGTGACACGCCCGCCTGATAAGTATACAAATATTTTGTACGTTAATATATGCATACACCCAAGCGTCGCTAATGACTTAGCAACACATAACAACGCAACGTTTGTAAAGTTTTAAAGCATGTTTTATTGATACAAATAATAGATGATAGTGTCAAAAAATATTACAACTGTTCGAATTCTAACTTCTATTCTTGATAAGCTTTCTTGTGATCTGACTCGGTCATCTTAACAGTATATATGTATGTAGGAGGATTGCTAAATAATGTTGAACAACATACAAATATTGACCATAGCAACGACATTGACAACTCGAAATAAGCAACTGTTTAGTTCTGTTTAAAATATGTCTTTATTTTTGTCACGAATAGATTCCTCGCTATGTAACATACGAAAAATCCTTCAAAGAGCAAAGATACGGCTATAACTCTGCTATATTAATTTCGATAACAATTTTGCCATGCGAGGGACACAAACTATTCATAGTAAGCCAAGATTAATCCCTCTATTGTATCATACACGTGGGACGCTAAAAAATGCGTAGTCAGCAAGTTTCGCCCGATCATGTTAAGCTCGCCCGCGTGACGTTATTGTATATAATTATGACGTATACTAACGAGTGACGTCACTACGCACCCTCACTTGTGCAGCCCCCTTAATTACCTGCATAAATAATGATGCGGCCCCCTTGCATAGTAATTACTTGCATATATAATTAAGCGGCCCCCTTGCGGCCCCCTGAAAATAAGGCCCGAACGGCCTCTATATTACTACTAGCAATAACTTTATCATCAGAAACAATTGTATCATTAATTAAAAGCTCTTTTAATTAAAATAAAAAAAAAAATAAAAAAAAGCTTTACGTTTTCGTCCCGAAATGGCATTTATCAAGGACCAGCTTTTTTAACATTTTTAGAAAGTGAACAATGCTCAATTTTCTCGCAAAACTATTTTGACTTTGCCTTACGGATCTCAATGTTCACTTTATTGCGACCAGACTTATATAACACAACCATTGCGACTGAGAATCGTGTTGTATTGCTTGTTTTTTGTGGAAATCCCTCTTTCTCATACCCTGTTTAACTTGGGGTGTAATCCACGGTATGGCGCGGTTCTGTCTCAACCTCTTCTGCTGTAGAGGTGCATATCTATCAAGAGCTTCAAGAAAGAGCGATTTCCACACCTGCCAGGATGTGTTTGGACTGGTAAAATTGATTTATAGAATCCCAAGGTAGTTGGGATATATCATGAATAAAGTCGTTTTGAACAAAATTTTTAAAATCTCTTTCTTCTCTAACCATGGGTGACGTTTTTCCTGATTTTGGTAACGTAAGTTTTCTCAACAGCAAAAATCAGACTGTGATCAGATATCCCAAGGTGAACAACATCAGACTGGGATATATTTTCTGGTTTGTTAGTTAAAATTAAATCAATTAAAGAAGCTGATGTTGGCGTAACTCTCGTTGGCTCATTGATAAGTTGATCAAACTGATAAAGAGAACATATGAATTGTAATTTTCGTGTTTGATTATCGAGCGGAGTTTTACTAACATTACAATTCAAATCTCCTAAGACGATTAACTCTTTGTTTTCAGCCTCACATTTGCATAAAAATTCCGCATACTCATCAAAGAAATTTATATCTGAGTTTGGTGGTCTATACCACGCATTAATTAAAAGTGATTTGTTGTATGGCCTATTAATTTCAATACATACCATCTCAAGATCTTTTGATATTAGATCTTTCCTTTCCGAGAATGGTATGTTATCACGGACATATAAAACCACACCACCCCCATATCTATTACGGTCTTTCCGAATAATATCATACCCAAATATATGTAATTTATTATCAGATATACTGTTATCTATTTTTGATTCATTGATAGCAAGAATATCACAGGTGTACTCTGTAAGAAGTACTCTTATTTCATGTATATGCTTTAATAAACTATTGATATTCAAGCTAGCAATCTTTATACCTTTCGATTTAGAATTGTCACAGATACCTAGATCCGGATCACACCTTGTTAACGTAGTGTTCGAGAGGTCCCTGCTAGTAACGTCATCAGCAGTTGGTTCGCTATGGTATGAAAATCCTCTGTGGAACTTCTACGTGGTCTTCTTGGACTCACATGTTGTTCACCTTTGAGGAACCTAATAAAATTAGTTGCTGCAGAACCTTTAGGATTTAGATGCAGCTTACTGTAGTCAGGTCTCTTATGACTTAATATGGGTCGGATCGTTACAGAAGTGACAAAAGCACCAAATTTGGCAGAGATGTTCATTAGGACCTACTGATTAATATTAGAGGGGGAGCCCAACGCAATCTTCACCGTACAAGTATTAACGGGCCTTATAAAATTTACCTTAATTACGAATTGGGCTACTGTGTTGTTTTGCAGTTTTCATCTAAAACAGCTAACAAGAAATGCAGTAGTGACATTTATTGACTGAAACTATTATGCTTACTCGTTTTTTCGCATATTTCATTATGAGACATCATTTATATATTACATAAGGCTTTTAGATATATACTAGTTCCCAGTCCCTTCTCGGTAAGAATAATCAAATTTCAACTTTAACGCCATATACTAGAGTTTTTTCTTCATAACGGAAACAATGATCGATCGCTGAAACTCTTCAGATTATCATTTAACCTTCATGCAGTTACTTTTAGGATAGGCATTGGCATCTGCAAAGGGGGGTGCATACCAAGGAAGCCTTGGCACACTTGCATCGTGTACACGCGCCTTTGCAAGAGCATTTTATGAGCTCACTACAAGCCTTGGATACTTCGAGTATGGTGATCCATTTCGGAACCCATTTGCCATCGTCTTCAGACCACGAGAACTGCCCTGGTGATGGCACATGTGGCTGTGGCTGATCGCCGACTGTCCAGATCCCGGCCTGGAAAACGGCGCGACGAACATGCTGCAAAAGGGCATCCTGCAAATAACAACAGTGTCGATGTTATTAAGGATTAGTTAGGAAGAGGTTGGTACTAGTCTCATAGAAAGACGGTTCGTTGTGAATAATAGTACCAGTTTAAGGGCTAGGTAGCCTTGAGCCCTTCCCCTCATGTCCGCCCCTGTTAGGTGAAACCTAGAAAAATTACGATAAAGAAACAAATAATATTTACCTGTGTAGGCGGGAGCTTGTCCATTGTTCTACCGTTCTTGCAGAATAACTCCATCCGGGTCAGGTTGATGTCAGATAAGGGACTGAGCTTATCGTACATGATTACCGTGTATCTCTCGATCTGTTTGAAGAGGGGCGAGTCTGTCGTAAGTTGCATAAATGGCGTCTTGGCAAGCATTTCGAATGTGGGCGTGACCTCTGGAAAGATCTCCCATGCCTGCCAAGCCGACTTCTTTCCTTTCCCGAAGAAGCCGGAGGTGGTATCACATCCAGTTAATGCGTGGAATACAGGCAGAGAAGTAGATTGTGGTTTACCAAGAATAGCACAAATACAGTTGACGCTGATGAAGCGAAAGTTTCGACCCATACCAAAGGCAAGCCACAGATCAAGTTCCGGCTGGACTTCTTTCGGGTCATGAAGCTTTCCCACCAAGATGACTAGGACATCGGTATCCACGGTTCGGACGAGGACTGTTTTTGCCTCTTCAACTTGGATGGCATGAAGGATATGGACCACAATCCTCGTATCCGCCTCTTCGTGAGTACAATCTGTCATTGCGGTCGCAGAGCCAATGGAAATCACAGAAGTACCTGGAGAAAAATTATTTCGGTAGTTAACATTTTTTATGTGCGTTTATGTCTTAGTAGAACACTTAGGAGGCTTGCTTGTTCAAAAGATTTGTTAGTTAATTAACTTTGCTGTATGACGCCTACAACATAATTTGGTTGAGTATCATAGCTGACATATGTGTTGCATGTTTACCTGATGTAACATGGATTGTCTTCCTCTCTGGCCAGTTATGTCTAGCAACCTTCAACGATAGGAAGTGAAACAACTCTTCTTTGTTTAACGGATCACGCAGGAATGACACCCAGTTGGATGGTAGTTTAGTACCCCCATCTACTTTCCGTCGAACGCCTTTGCCTCGCTTCTCCCTGGTGGACTCCTTGAGACTATTAGGTATGTATGTGTCCCAGACGACATCCACTCTTGTACTTCTCTGTCTGCTGAGGTGTGGAATGAAGACGTTATGGGCGTAATCATCAAAGGTGTTCGAACCAGTTACGGGGAGGCAGTGGACCACGACAGCTCCGTCTAGAACACTGCAGTCAAATTGCGTGGGAGGCTCTGCCTGAGTCGATGGAATAAGGCACTTGAGGAGTTCCGATTTAGCGCTTGGTAGGCGAAGATTGCCGAATTCTGATAAGGAGGGAGGGAATGGTTGAACTTCATGGCTGAAGAACTCCTCGAGGTCAGCATTACGGCTCTGCATGGCTATGTACAGCTGTGCAAAGAGTGCAACATTATTTTGGAGTGCAGCTATTTTCTTCGTCTGTTTAGATTTGTTCCGCAGGGGTCATTTCTTGTAAAGGGGGATATTGTTCCTCTTAATGGTGTTGTGAATGGAGATCGTCCGATCCTCTATAACTGTCTTGACATATTCCCTGTACTGGGTCTGACCAAGGGTGTCGAGGTTCTTCACTGCCTTAGCTACGTCATCGTCTGCACAATCACGGCTATCCAGTGTAACCAACTCAGGAAAGTCGTTGAGGAAAGGGTTTCCCATCTCTCTCATTACATCTACTAGTTTATTCACCTGCTGCTTAAACGTCTTTTGCGCACTGAGGCCCATTTCGTGGTTGAGACGTCCGCCACGCTCGTCGCTATCTTCTAGATATTGACCTTCAAACTGGTGCAGAAGCCTTGTTGTCTCAGGGCCGGAAAGCATCCATCGTCTGAAAATAGAAAATGAAAAATAATAATTGCTCAGCTGAAACTTTTTTTTTAAAAAAAATATTGCTTTTAGATCTATTAATCCATATTTTGTAACTAAAGCATTCAGATTTTTCAGAACAACTGTCTGTCTTGCAAACTGAATTCAATGCATCGCGACCATTTTTGTTTTCATAAGAGCGCATAGTCGATTAAACCGTCCAGGACAATGAATTACTTGCCCTGTTATCAATTACTTGCCCTGTCCCCTAATGCAGTCAAATGGATTTCTGTCAATACAGGAATCGCTTGAATGGATTGGATTGATTTACTATGCTATTTTTTAAGGTCTAAAACAAAACCAGCATTTTGGAAATGAATTTCGCGATGCACCGAATTCAGTTGTAACATGAAGTTTTTGTAATTATATATTAAAGTTTACCTAAAGGCTACAGGGTTTTCCGTAAGGCCAACGGCTCCTCCTGCACTCTTTACGACCTTGTTCTCCTGCTCGTGCGCCTGGTCAAAAGGGATCGCAGAGAACCGATTGCCCGTCTTCGACAATACCCAACGTCCTTCCTCTTGAAACACCTTGGAGATTGATTCAGGCAAGGACTTCATGTCTCGAAGATGGATGGGTGCCCACCTGGCGTAGTTCATGTGATCCAGTGCAAAGAATAATGGTATTAACTCTTCAAGGGCCTCGACGTACAGGGTGAAATTACGCTGGCGATGTGCACGTACAAAAAGTAGAACCAGGGTCTCGTACTTCAAGATAAGATCCCAGAAGAGAAATGTCGGGCTCCTTGTTTTTCTCTGGTCCTCCCATGTAGCCATTGTAGTGTCATCAGCGCACGTCGAAAATGCCTCTTTCTTTAGCATATGCAGGGCAAGAGATGTAACCTGGTGAGCATGCCTGAAATTTAAAAGCATACAGTTACGGTTTCATAACAATAAAAGCAACTCTCACTGGCTGAGAAAACAACTAGTTATATGAACAGGAATTCAAACATACCTTGTTCTTGTTAGATGTGATGCCTTCAGGAATGAATCTGCCACACCAGACGAGGCCACGTCAGCTTCTGTCAAGGCGGTGGTCCATCTTGACCCATCTAGCAAGTCGCCAACTACACTCCATAGTGCCATCTCAACGTGGAGACCACCCATCATCCCAACGAATGCCTGCTCTCCGTGTGACGTCGGCCACTTCCACTGCACCATCTTCACCAAGGCAAATAGAGGTTGGTCTACAGTAATGACTGGGACCTGGCCCGGGTTCATAAAGGTTGTCGCCTGTCGTATTACGTCCATCCCATGCTTTATCATTGCTGGCGTTGCTGCCTTCTCGTAAAAAATGGGTAACAGTGCA